CCATCGCCCGTGCGTGGAATTGATTAGAAACACGGTACGGACGCGATACTAACACCCGTCCTTCTCTTCTCGGTCCATCGATCCTGCGCTGCACCGCCGGTGCGCGCCAGGAGTTTCCTCGCTTCCTGGAGCAGTCGGCGGTGCCGGTCATGGCCTTTCTGACCGCGTCCTTCCTGGTGGCGGTCCTCTCGCAGCAGTTCCTCACGGTGGTCACACCCATTTGGCGTAGGCCGTCGATCTCGGTTTGGCCGTGGCAGTTGCGCAAACGGGGCGCGGCAGAGATGGTTGCGCGAACAGGGGGGGAGCGCGAACAGGAGGTTTGGGTGCACATTCAAATCCCGCAGGAATGAGGAGGAGCGCAAAGCTATGAGGGTGCGAAAGATCCAGCTGCTTGGCGGCACCCGACCTTGTATGCCGTAGAAATTGATCTATATACCCTACAAGTCAAAGACCTCATTTTACTGGAGATGGTGATACAAAACCAATACTTAAGGAGTAAAAAGACCACGTTTTACTGGGTCTTTGGACTTGTAGGGATAGATCAGATTCACCCAAGGCCAAGGCCAGGCTTTTGCTGCCAAGTCTTTTGGGGCACTTTGCTGATTTTGCTCGGCACCATGAGACTTGGGCACTTGGGTGGTGGTGCCACGGCTTCTTGCCGACGGCCTCTCCAAGTTTCGGGGATTCAAGAGGCGATGCGGAAGAGGCATGGTGTTTTCAGGCGGAGCTCTTTAGCAAAATGTTTGTAGACTCTCGATGAATCACCCCCCCAGACATGGATTGTAAAACCTCTTTTTTGGCTTGGTTGACATCAAGAGTCTACATGAGGAAATGGTGCAACATCGATGACATCATCATTTTTCCTCTATTTCAGCGATATAATGATCCTCGCACCTTGAAAAAGAAGGTACACTGAACCACACACGCAGCAAGTGGTACTAAACTAAACTATACTAAACTTATAGCTTAGATTGAATACCACATTACCACATCCACGATCATACAAGTCTCACTTCTGCATCCTATTATATAAATCCGTATATTCAGACGAACTCTCCCATCTGCCGAAGGGTTCCCTCATGTTCCCTCCCCACCCCGCGGTCGACCAAGTTCACGCCTCTCAGGAAGGATCGCTTCCAAGAATTCACGACGTCACTCCAGGCACTGTGACAGGGGGTATCTCGACCAGCGAGATCAGCCTCGGAGTCTCCGGACCGTTGTTCATGCGTAGTGAATGATATAGGTGGTTCTTGCTTTTGGGAACGTCTTGCAACACCACCTGGTGGTGGTGATGCTGGTTTCTGGAGTTTGAGGTCTAGATTGACTATGGCCGCATGAAAAGAATATTGACAGCTAAAATGACAGTTTCAGTTTCATGACAAGTAGCTTCTTGTTACTCGTAGACTCGTAGTAATGCCAAGGACGCTACTAGTTCGTCGCGATCCTATTCTTACGTTCGGTTTCGATTGCACCTCCCTGTTGCTACGTTCGTAGCTTAAGCATGCTTAAGCCGCTGTTTCAGAAGAGCTTGGAGAATAGCTTCATAGCTTCGAGAAGCTCCAATCAACCACCCACCGCTGGATGGAAGCTCCGGTACGTCACCCCTGGCCGCAGGACTCGCTCGAGGACTTGGCTCAGGGGCGTTTGGCCAAGGCGAGAGCCGAGAGTCCAGGAGTAGCAGCAGCAGCAGTAGTAGTAGACTACTACTAGTACCAGGAGTAGTGGGAGAAGTAGCGGTGAATTACGACTACCAGGCGGGGTAAAATGAGTCAAAAAGGAAGTTCTGGCGTGGGGATGCTGTTTGCTGCTCGACCTGGCGGTGCTGTTGCTGTGCTGCTCGACCAGACTCATCGGAGTCGGAAGACGACGACGGAGTCGACGGGTGCTGGGCCGGTGCTGGGCCGGTGGGTCAAATGGTGCCTCCATTCTGGGCCTTACATGGTGTTGGGTACGGAAGTTTAGAGGAATTGCCCCACCAAAAACACTAGGTCACTATGCAGGCCAGTTGGGCACAGGACAGAACTTGGACTGCAGTGGCACAGTGGCAGCAACCCCTTGTGACATGTTTGGACAATCCAAAGACCTCATTGGTTGGACATGATGAAGCATCCGATGGTGTTTTTCCACTCAACATCCACTTGTGACACACGAAGCCATCCACAGGTTTACTTACCAACTCCCTTTCCCTGTGAGCTTGTGAGCCATAATCCACCCAGCAGAACAGAGTCCTGGGACCAGAGGACTTTCTCTCTCTCTCTCTCTCGAGGGTTGCGCGACACGAGGGTGGGAGATTCCCACCTCCCCAAAAAGAACATCCTGCTATGCCGGAGGGTGGGAGAAGCCCCCCCAATGCTCTCCAAAATCCCTTGCGTCTTCCTCCCCCAAGCAACACCAAAAACAAAGGCGCCTAGAATCTAGAAGACAAGCAACAGGTGACCGCAGAGTTTCTAAGTTCTAAGTGTTTTAATTTCGGAATGCCGGAATGCCCCCATCCAGATTCACAATGGCTCATTTTACCCCACCTGGAGGTCACTAGCCCACCACTAGCAGTGACCGGGGGACCGGACCCTAAAAATGACCGGACTCTCAAGGGCCACACTCCGACTCAACAAGTCTTAGTGCAAAGTGGCGTGCTGGATTTCGGGAAGCCGCTTTTCCTGCCAACAGCCGCGCCTTCCACTTCCGACGTGGGTTTTCCCTCGAAAAACTGACTGGGCACGATCTACACTGGAGTCGGTGTTTTGTTTTGGTGAGCGATGGGTGAACTGGTCGGGCGAACATGGTGGGTCACGACCCATCCCCATGTCAATCCATATTCAGTTCTTCACCTATAGTCATTTCTTCGAGTTTCGGGTCAGTCCGTCCGTTCGACCGGAGATGTGATATTGATGCCCACGACCGGTCAGGATGCTGGGCTGCCTGCGGACCTTCCGGTCTTCCCTACCGAACGCGCCAGGCGGCCAAAGGCTTCGACGCCCTGGCGGCCTATGCGGATCGATGGGCTTCGGAGCCCACCTGGGAGGCGCCCCACCTGGGGACGGCGGATTGTTGGGGTGAGCGGTATTTGGGAGGCCAGTGGGACATAGGAGAGGGTGGATGAACAAACCACACCTCTCAACATCATGACGATGTTTGAATCCATTGGTTGTTGTTGTTGTTGCTGTTGTTGTGGTGGTCGTCGTGGTTGGTTGGTTGGTTGGTTGGTTGGTT